TTGATTTCCGTCGATCTTGTTTTCCGTGCTGAGCACCAATGCTAGCGACGCCAGGAAGGCAGCTCCCACACCTGGACCCTACCTATCGACCCATTAAATCATGAACCGGGATCCAACGGCTTTACTTCCCTTCCAAAGGAAGGCGTGATAAGAGATGTTATGACTCAGAAAATCCCGGCGGCGCCGACTGGGATTCAACCCAGGCCTGTCGAGGTGAGCAGGGGTTGAAACTGTTGACGTTTTTTACGACACTCGCTTCGTTGTCATGCGCGACAGTCTGTTTTTATTCGTACTCTCATGCTCTACCGTCGTCTCTCTTAAGTGGACCCTACACGATTGCTTTTATTGTCAATATTCGTATTGTCAATACATTTTATATTGACGTCAATACATAGATATTGACAATATTTCCATAGAGGTAACTCTAAAGTGGACCTTACACGATTGTTTTTATTGACAATAATTGTATTGTCAATAAATTCTATATTGACGTCAATACATCGGTATTGACAATATTTCTGTGTTCACATCATCAATATTATTCTCAATAATTCCCCTTCGCGTCAATATATTGATACGTGTGGGGTTCGCTTAAGACTAGTAGGTCCCAATGAAACGTGCTCAACTTTTTGGCTCAGCTCTGGTACTATCTTCGGTCCCAAGCTAATCGATGCACCCCTCGAAACAGGAAAATCCACGAACCCTCATTTTATCTGTCAAACTTTCATAGCGAATCAAAACAAACATTGTGGGGTACGTTAATCGATTTGTTTGGGACCAATAGGCTAGTCAAGTAGTGAGCCAATTTAAAATCGTTAGTTTCGTATTGATTGTTGATATTTCTGTGTTCACATTATCAATATTATTATCAATAATTCGCCTTCACGTCAATATATTGATACGTGTGGGGTTCGCTTTACACAACACAAACGGTAGAGCAACATTTGAGCAAAAAGAAATTTTGTGTTCACATTATCAATATTATTATCAATAATTCCCCTTCACGTCAATATATTGATACGTGTGGGGTTCGCTTTACACAACACAAACGGTAGAGCAACATTTGAGCAAAAAGAAAATTTTCACATAACTATCATATCAGGCATAACATTTGATAACGGCACAAAAGCTTTTGTAAACAAACTTTTTAAGGCCCTTTACACGCGAACCAAATTACGCCCACGCAAACCAATACCACTTTCTGAAAGATGATAGGTGCCCCTATACGATGATGTTTTGTTTATGATGATGTTTAACGAATCTCCTCAATTTGGTGTAAATTAAACCATTTCTGATCAGAAATGTTATTACTAGGACATCGTTGCTTGCTATTTTCAGAATTCACACAAGCACAACATCAGCCGTTCTCTTATTATGAGAAAAACTAAAATACATACATTCGTGACGGTCTTCGGCAACAGTGTTGCTTGATTTGCAAGTGTCGGAAGCAAAGGCAGTCGATTATCACAGAAAATATGTCGACTATAGATCAGTGCACGAAGATTTGCCGCACTCTTCCCTCTCCCGTAAATTTTGACAGTTTTGGTTGGTTTGTTTTGGCTCCCATTCGTTGCCATCTCTTTTACTCACAGACAAAATGATAGGAAGCAAAAAGTGAGGTTAGGGACCGTGCACTGATCTATACGGTCACCACCACTATACGGTTATTTGGGTTTCGGAAGGTGTTTCATCCTGATGACCGACCTGTCAAAACTTAAACCACAGACAAACAGACATAACTGTTAGAAGGAAATTCTTCAAACATATCATCAAGCGTATTATCATAGAGGTAACTCTAAGACAAGAAGGTCCCGAAGAAACGTGCTCAACTTTTTGGCTCAGCTCTGGTACTATCTTCGGTCCCAAGCGAGGTCACAAGTTAATCGATGCACCCCTCGAAACATAGGAAAATCCACGAACCCCTCATTTTATCGGTCAAACTTTCATAGCGAATCAAAATAAACATAGTGTAGTATTAGAATTTCGACTATAATGGGGTACGTTAGTCGATTTGCTTGGGACCAGTAGGCTAGTCAAGTAGTGAGCCAATTTAAAATCGTTAGTTTCCACCGGTTGGTATTATTTTGTATGCACACTAGCACCAACAATCAATACGAAAACTTGACTAGCCTATTGGTCCCAAGCAAATCATTTAACGTATCCCATTCTAGTCGAAATTCTAGTACAACACTATGTTTGTTATGATTCGCTATGAAAGTTTCAAGGGGTGCATCGATTAGCTTGTAACCGAAGAGCGTAAAAGCAACAATCAATTCGAAACTAACGATTTTAAATTGGCTCACTACTTGACTAGCCTATCCCAAGTAACATTGCAAGCTTTATAGAGGTTTTGTAGCATTCTACAAGTCCAAATCATGGTCTACAGAACCCTCATAAAACCAAAATTGTTACTTGGGATTGGTCCCAAGCTAATCGACTAACGTAGCCCATTCTAGTATAAATTCCAGTACTACACTATGTTTGTTTTGATTCGCTATGAAAGTTTGACAGATAAAATGAGGGGTTAGTGGATTTTCCTATGTTTCGAGGGATGCATCGATTAGTTTGGGACCGAAGATGGTACCAGAGCTGAGCCAAAAAGTTGAGCTCGTTTCTTCAGGACCTTCTGGTCTTAGAGTTACCAACAATCAATACGAAACTAACGATTTTAAATTGGCTCACTACTTGACTAGCCTATTGGTCCCAAGCAAATCGTTTAACGTATCCCATTCTAGTATAAATTCTAGTACTACACTATGTTTGTTTTGATTCGCTATGAAAGTTTGACAGATAAAATGAGGGGTTAGTGGATTTTCCTATGTTTCGAGGGCTGAATCAATCAGCTTGGGACCGAAGATAGTACCAGAGCTGAGCCAGAAAGTTGAGCTCGTTTGTTTGTATGTATGTTTATAAACATGCAGCGTGCTTAATATGATGGAAGAGGAAATGAAGTCCAACCTAATTTACGAAAAGCGTATAATAGAAATTGTTTTTGTACTGATTCTAATCTTTCTTCGTGCGTGATTGAAAATGGAGACCATACAATGCTGCAATATTCCAGTATTGACCTCACATAGGCAATATATAGTGTTTTAATTGTGTAAGGGTCCTGAAAGTTATAGCAAAAGCGCTTGATAAAGCCTAGCATGTTTTTTGCCCTGTGAATAATTGTATTGTAATGGTCTATGAAAGTTAGCTTAGAGTCTAAGATAATTCCTAAATCCCTAACTCTTTCACATTTGTCTACAGTTTGATTTCCTAATGCAATTGAAATGTTTGAAGTTGTTCTTTTTCTACTAAATGATATTAAGTTACATTTTTTTACATTCAATTCTAGTAGACTTTTTTTGCACCATGTTTCTTCGGGACCTTCTGGTCTTAGAGTTACCTCTATGGTATTAGGCTTGTTTGAATTTGCTGTAAGTTGCTGTGACGCACCGCCTTCCACCTTTTTGCAGGAAATCTTTAAAATCTCCGTCAATCTTCGTTCTATCTACTAAGCGTGTGCGCATTCTCCAACAGCATATAACAGCATTTTTCCCTGTATCTTAGATAGAGATAGGAAAACAAGAGTTGTGACTTCATCCTATCAACCAGCCTCTTATATGAGAACAACCGTGGTGCAGTGGGATCGAACGAAGACAACGGCAGCATCACATCCCAACAGTCCAGGATCGAATCCCAAATCAGACGCATTAAAAATACATTTGTAAGCTCTGCCCTCTGGCAGCTTTGTTTATATATTTGTTGATTCATTTTTAGAGTCGGTAAAATATGAGTCGATAAAGTAGAATATCTTTTACCCTCTATCTAAGATACAGGGAAAAATGCTGTTATATGCTGTTGGGGAATGCGCACACGCTTAGTAGATAGAACGAAGATTGACGGAGATTTTAAAGATTTCCTGCAAAAAGGTGGAAGACGATGCGTCACAGCAACTTACAGCAAATTCAAACAAGCCTAATACCATAGAGGTAACTCTAAGACCAGAAGGTCCTGAAGAAACGAGCTCAACTTTTTGGCTCAGCTCTAGTACTATCTTCGGCCCCAAGCTAATCGATGCACCCCTCGAAACATAGGAAAATCCACTAACTCCTCATTTTATCTGTCAAACTTTCATAGCGAATCAAAACAAACATAGTGTAGTACTGGAATGTATACTAGAATGGGGTACGCTAGTTGATTTGCTTGGGACCAATAGGCTAGTCAAGTAGTGAGCCAATTTAAAATCGTTAGTTGCGTATTGATTGTTGCTGATACCTAGACCAACAAGAGAAATTAGCGAAACATCCAAATATAGATATTTTTTGAAACGATACTTGTAGGAAGGTGTGGGCAGGCATAGAAAATCATTTACATTCATTTCTTGCATTCATTTACATTCATTTGCCCCTAACATTTTTCATTTTCGAGCTTTTGTAGGGTTTTTTTATTAGCTAGAACTTTTGTTAACAACTCAAATACGTATCTGTTATGCATGATGAACCAGAGCAAACAGAAGCCACTGCTGTTTTTCAATGAATGAATTTTACATTCACTGAAAACAGTAACAAGTTCTGCCCGCTATAATTCGTGATGCATAAGAGATACAGATTTGAGTTATGGGTAAAAGTTGTAGCTATTAACAAAACCTACAAAAGCTCTATACATCATTTTGCGGAATGCTGTTGATGAAAAAAGTTAGAGGCAAATGAATGTAAATGAATGCATGAAATGAATGTAAATGATTTTCCATACCTGAGTGTGGGTTTGAATCCCACCTATAGGTTGTTGCACCATTTTTGCAATATATCTCACCACCCAAACACATGCTCTTGCCTTCAAATAACGTTTCATAAAATTAGAAAAAAATAGTTCGACTCAACATTAGTGAATTACCCTTGCAATATACACCCAAATATAAACCAACGCTTTAAACTCAAATCACTAGTGAGATGCATTGGCGTAGCTAATGGGGGTGCAATTGGGCTATTTGTAACACTTTGTACAAAATACGAACTTTTTGCTGAGGCATTAAAAAAACACCCAAACCAATTTATTTGCATCGTAATATATACCAACCGCGCCTATTTGGTCTTCCTGCGCCCGTACGCCTTGACGTAGAAATCGGCAAACATGACCAGCATGAACACGTTCTGCATCATAACGCTCCAGAACCAATATCTCGGAATACCGCATTCATAGCCACGTATGGCCGGTTGTCCAAAATAAATGGTCAAGCCAACGAACTGCGTCATCTGTATGATGGTGATGCATTTCTTCCAGCGCAGATTCCTGGTCCACTCCGGACGCCACACCGACAGGAAGAAGTAGAAATACATCGCTGCGTGCACGTAGGTATTGACCAAGCCCAGCATCGATCCATGACCACCCGGGTAGATTCGGGAATAGAAAAATGGAATAAGAACCATCAAGGTATGGTGATACACGTGCAGGAATGATACGTGACCCTGCTTCTTACGGAGCACGAAGAATATCTGTCCAATAAGAAACATGTTTTAGAAAAAAAAAACTCATATTTCTTTAAACCAAGAGCATGAACCGTGTCAACGAGGTCGGCTACTTTGAGCAGGTAGTAGTAATGGACTAATTGAACTTCTCTCATCGCTGTTGCGCTAGTGGATCGATCAACAGGTTGGCAAGATAGAGATACCCTCGATTCGATCATCAACTTGGTGCCCTATCAAAATAAATTACTCTCAATATTCAGTCAGAATCTGAAATACATTCAAAGTATCCTCACCGAATATGCCAGGTAGATGTTGACAGCCACCTGTAGGAAATTGTACACCAAAAGCATTTTACGAAGATCAAACGGCCTACGATTTGCCATCAACTTGGGACCTAAGCTTAGCACGAAGTACAGGTACGCTCCAACCACGGTAAACGGAATCCAGGGAGGATTCATCAGAATTAATTCCACCGTTCGGGGATCTGAAACGAAATTCGATTGGTTATTGCTGAATTTGCTTACCACTTGGCAATTGGCCACCTTGAGCATCATGGTAGTACTTTTGGTAGTACTCATATAAATTACGCAGAACCAATGCCATCGTGATGCAAATTCCGAATAATATGTCAGTCACAAAATTGAGTTCTTGCCGATATTCTCAATGGTGCGATCAAGTTCATAACACTGAATGAAATAGCTAGTCATTTCGTTGACAAATCCAGTGCAGAAAGAGCTACTTTTAAATTCAATGTGCTAATTTTTGACGGCGTCGTCGTTGTCCGTTACATGCTCTGTGACCTAGGGGTTTATAAATTAGCCTACAGGAACTTAGCCGGTCTGGTCTGATGGTGACTAGAATTGGCAAAATGGTTTCCACATACACAGTCTCGTAGCATGTTACGATTTTAAATATAAGTTAAACGAACGCAACTGAAACTGAAGGTGTGCAGTGGTATTGTTCATTCCACAGCTTGAATCATTGGATAGATGTAGTACAATGATAATAATTATTTGCTTTTATAGTAATTAGTACTGAATTTTTTATTTCGTATTTGAGCCTATTTTCGATTTACTTGGACGAGACCATTACATGCAATTTCTTTGCTATGCCACTTGCGCTGGATGATGCGCTGTTTGAGCTTTATTGAATTTTATGCATCTATGGCGGTAAATGATGAATCTATGAAGTTTAACATTCACGGAAGAGGCTTAAATGTGTTGAGCACGTTTTTCGCATGGGTTCCAGAAGGATGTTAATCTTAATTATGGCACAAAAGTTAATTTTAATACTTTAATACTGTAGATTTGGTAAGTTCATCCGCTTGGGCGTAGCTGATGGGGGTGCCAAGGCCCCCTCCAAAATTATCTAGCCCCCTGGTTTTTTTGATTTTGTCTCACCGATATTTTGTCAAGCATGCCAAGTTCGATTTTACTATTTAACAGCGATTAATAAAATTGGACCACAAACAAAGATTTTCATTAAAGTCCATTATGTTGACCACTTTTCTTATGTTCTGGACTAGAAGAAACAATTTTGAGAAATTATGTTATATCGATCTTTAATCGATGGCATAATATGACGTGTTCAGGCTTTACAAATTGGCCATGAGCACAGGGACTTCTCTTTAACTTCTGGGAAATTCTTAAAACTTCAAGGACTTCCAAGAAGTTCAGGGATCATCGTAGAAATTGGGGAAACTTAGTAGAAATTCTGGGAACTTCATAGATCTTCCGAAAAAATCGTAAAAACAAGGAACTTGGAAAAGTTCTGCAAACTGCGTAGAAGAGGAAAATCTATTTAAGTATGAGGAGCTTCGTAGAAGTTAAGGGAACATTGTTTTATTTCGCAATTATGAAACTTTTATGAAAATTTTGATTAGGTCAAACATATTATAATCATTAAAACTCTTATTTCATTTGTTTTTAAAATTAATGTACTAGAATTTTTAAGAAATTACTGTCCAGGTAAGATCTTGTAATCTTATCTTAGTTTTAGAATTAAGACAATTGATCATATTTCGTTGACTTTTAATTACATTTGCATTCAAAGAATTTATACATACAATCTGTATCAGATACAGCTATATTTTTTTAGTTACAAAATCTGCAACAGCATGTTAAGAATTGTGTATGGGCACATATCTTGAACATGTTCCTAAGTCCTACATGTATGAAATTTTTTCTGTGTGCACTTTATCTTGTTTCAAAGTAAGAATTTTACAAAATTATAAAATTAAAACTCCTTGAATTTAATTTTGGTTCCTATGTCTGATATTTAACTGATGATGAAATATTCAAAATCTTAAAAATGCTAGCTACAAAATTCATGGAATTACTTAATTCTAAGAATGTTCTTAAGATTGAGATGCTTAAATTTATGAGATTCGGACGATATGTGATTTTATTGCAAAAAGCATAAACAAATGATCATTGTTTGTTCATAAGTAAGTTTTTATGGTTCCCTCAATGAAGGTCCCAATTGTTGTTATGGAATAAATATAAACAAATTTATTGTTTCACCATTAAGGTGATACTCTAAGAAAGCCTTAGCGTGAAACTTCAAAAGCACAAATGTCAGCTTCCACAAAACATAAAAAATTGAAATTGCTACTCTCTGTTTGTAGTAGCACAGCAAACAAGGGGTAGCAATTTCAAATTTGTATGTTTTGTGGAAGCTGACTTTTGTGCCTTTAAAGTTTCACGCTAAGGCTTTCTTAGAGTATCACCTTAAAATAATAGTAAGCTTCAATGCCATATTATTGGTTACAGAACAAATGTAACCAAAATCAAGTTATCTGGACGCAATTTGATTGAAAAGCATCTCCCGAGTTTTTATTTAACCGTAGCTTAGCAAAAAAAAAATGCGAAAATACTTGCTGTTGCCTATTGTACTATAACTAGGTGTAGTACACTTATCTCCAAAAAACGTGTAACGGCATTTCGTGATGAATTTCAAAAATAAAGGTATCTCTAGAATTCCTAAGGTCTGTAGATTATTTTTATTGCAAAAACGTTGAAAATAGAATCATCTACTTTTTCAAAATACAAAAAGAGTCGTTACACGTTTTTTAAGTGTGGTTATGGGTTTTGCAAATGGCTTAAGATCTATAATCATTAATGGACACAAATGTTCATAATTAGTTAGAATACCTACATGGTTCACGTATCCCATTCTAGTCAAAATTCTAGTACTACACAATGTTTGTTTTGATTTGCCATGAAAGTTCGACAGATAAAATGAGGGTTTAGTGGATTTTCCTATGTTTCGAGGGGTGAATCGATTAGCTTGGGACCGAAGAGAGTACCAGAGTTGAGCCAAAAAGTTGAACACGTTATTTCGGGACCTTCTAGTCTTAGAGTTACCTCTATGGTGTTCTAGATGCACTTCCACAGTTATTAATTGAGAGCTTTCGATGCCTGTACCATTTTTGCATTAGTATAATTGTGTGGCAAGTACAATCATACTCTATTGCCCAGGGAAGTCGAGAAATTTTCCAACCCGAAAAATTCCAAGACCGGACTGGGAATCGAACCCAACCACCTCCAGCATGGTCTTGCTTTGTAGTTGCACCTTTACCGACTGAGCTAAGGGAGGCCCCGTGTAGTTAGCTGGTCACACGCTAAGTAGATAGAAAGAAGATTGCTGATGATTCTGAAGATTTCCTGCAAAAAGGTGATGCGCGATGCAAATAGATGCGAGATTTGAAAGAAGATTTTTCGTATATTGATTTGCTAGTGTAAGATTTTTCGAGCATCTAGAATTGAGATTTAGATGTGATGTTCCCCTCGGTGTAGACTTTTTCCGTGTCGAGTACTAGTACAATACACTGAAAAAGTCTGCACATTGTTGACGAAATACTCGTATCTGTCATCAAGCATGGGAAAAATCGTTTCATTTTGCAATTACTACTCACTCACACGCCTACAACATCAGAAACGAGCAGCACCTTGTTCCGTTTTGGTTGCTGAGCTGGCAGCAGTGATGTCAGATTACTATTCGATTAATCGAACTAATCGATTATCTGTTAAAATAATCGATTAATTTTTAATTTATGCCTCGATTATCTGATAATTGTTTAATTGGCTTCGATTATTGAACGATAATTTAAATTTTCATTGGAACCAGGAGTTAAATTTATTTTAGTATATACATTTTCCACCACGCCAACAGAGCATCGATTAAACTATGTTCCATCCCAACTTGAAGTTCAGAACGTACATGTTCTCTAAAGCAGGTCAGACAATTGGCGAATCAAAGCAAAGCCAAAATTGGTTATGCGACACCTAGTTTTAAGATCCGCAATTACAAAAATGATGATGTACTAAAAAAATGTCATACAATTTGACAGATATCAAAACGTTATTACCATTTTCACCGACTCACCGTCTGTGAGTCAATCGTCACTTTGATTCTTCAATAACAAAGCTGTGAAACCGTTTGTCTGGCTCTCATCTCAACATGATACTATTCTTAAAGGTTAATTAACTACGTAGACAGTTCCCCTTCCTCGAACAAAACAGATTAGGGTCTGTTCATTAACTACGTAGACATTTTATGGGATTCTTGACCACCCTCCCCCTGCGTAGACAATTGTCCATACAATTTAGATTTTGTAAATTTATATGGGCCGTGGATAATTGCCAACCCCCCCTTGGGTTGGCAATTATCCACGGCCCATATAAATTTACAAAATGTAAATTGTATGGACAATTGTCTACGCAGGGGGAGGGTGGTCAAGAATCCCATAAAATGTCTACGTAGTTAATGAACAGACCCTAATCTGTTTTGTTCGAGTAAGTGTTTTTTTTTCAGGCAATGAGATTGCAGTTCAAAGTCAAAATCAATTCGTCATAAAGATGCAAGTTGTCTTTTCTATCACTGTACTTCTAATAAAAATGATAATAAGGGTAAAAGTGTATTTGATTGAATTGTTATTTCTCGAAAAAATAAAATTACCATGGATGAATAATCTACATCTAGTTGAAACACTTTCTTAAAGACGTTGGTTTTCTTTGTTATCAGAGAGTATTAAAATTAACCGATTATTTCGATTAATCGATTATTCCATGTCGATTAATCGATGTCGATTACTATCATTAAAAATAGAAATCGATTAGTAAATAATCGATTAGTTGGGAAAATCGGAGCAGTCAACTTCGCATTGGGGATGAGTTCCATCTTCTCGGATAGCCTCAGATTGTGTTTTACTGTGGTTAGCTGCGCACACGCTGAGTAGATAGGAAGGAGATTGATGACGATTCTGAAGATTTCCTGCAAAAAGATGATGCGCGATGCAAGTAGATGCGAGAAATGAAAGAAGATTTTTCGAAGATTGATTCGCTAGTGTGAGATTTGTTGAGCATCTAAACTTGAGATTTAGATGTGTCGCCCCCCTCGCTCAGTTCGAATGAGGCTATTCGGTCGATGAAACCATGTACACTGAACCAAAACATCCGCAATACTTCGAATGATTATTGCATTGCTCGAGCCCTTTAACAATATGCATTCGAATTTCGGATGATTTTCTTATGGTTGAATTCGTCGTCAGATGATGACCATCCATATGATTGTTATCCAAATACAGGATGATTTTCGTTTGAAAAACATACGGAACTCAGAGGACAAACATTTAAGAATAGTGTGACATGCAAGAGCTTTTAATTAGATTTATAATTTGATTATCTAAATTTCCATACTGAATAGCTCTAATCAGCCATTCCAATTATCGATACAAAAATT